GGGGGTGGGAAAGCCGGAAAGGTAGTAACAACCTAATTCATGATCGGGATACCGTATGTGCTCCAATTGAATTGATGTAATAATCTTATACCAATAAACTAGTATAAGATTACCACCCTTTATAAAATATTATGGAGTATTGTTTTAATTATAATTGATTGAGTCGTTGACCTGAGTTTGACCTGTCCAACTATTTAACATTTGACCAACTAACTTGTACGGGTCGACGTCTGGTTCGTTTTCAGAATATTGTTTTCTTTTGAACAAATAACCCTCTGTCTCAAATTAAGCTGTATGTTTATTCACGGTCAAATTTTAATCATTTTATTTACTTGTTTCCGTTTCTAATTTAATAAAACAATGTAACCATATCAACCTTAATTTTGAAGAATTTTTGATATAATTTTTTAATATATAAATTTTCTTTTTAATTTTATCACAATTTTCTTATGAAATTATTTAAAAACAATCTCACTCAATAAACAACGACAAGTGCGCTACACGTGGGCGCGAACGGGCGTCAAAGCATGGAAGCTGACTGGGGACTCCGTTTTCTTTGATCTTCACACTCCCGCGACGCCGTTATCCGAAAGGAACATATAAAACGACGCGCAATTCGTGGAGTTGTGTAAAGGATATGAAATAGCCGGGTCGGAAACTTCTCCCGGGTCTATTGTTCTTTCGGATCAGAAATTCCGTTTATATAGACATTTAAGGAAAAGAACTTAACAGTTTCAAGAATGGGCCGTGGTGCTACAGAAAGCACATTGATTCATCACGTTGTTATAGTGCTTCTCCTTCTATGGCTGCTCAATTCCTTGAATTGGTGTCACCCTTTTGCTTATTTTATCTCCATAGCTTATATCTATTTGGTAAGCATAATTACTCGCACATCTTTTTTGTTCATATACAATTTTCTAAGTTTTTTTTTTGTTTTTAATTACTGATTTTGATGATCATTTATTGGAGGTTCATGAGAGCTATGTGAGTAGATTGAGGAAGAGATTGCAGTTTGAGGAAAAAAAGCAGTCGTATCAAAGACGGGTTAATCTCTCTCACTTTCTCTCTGTGATATCTCGTAGGGCTTTGATTTTTAAAGGTAATGGGAAGTTAAATTTTACAAAATCTCTCAAATTCATCAAACTCGAATTGGGTTTGATTTTCTTTCGATGGGGCACTGTTTGTTGAGATCAGAATTGGATTTACAGTGGAATTTGATTATTTGATGCCTGTGTTAAGGAGTTTCTGATTTTGCTCTTGGTTTTCTCCAGCTGCTTTCTGATTCAGAAAGCGTAAGATGGTTGAATCATGCGTTAGAGAAGATCTGGCCTGTTTGTATGGAGGAAATTGTCTCTCAGAAAATTCTCCTTCCCATCATACCATGGTTTATGCAAAAATATAAACCCTGGACAGTGGTAAGGCTTGACTACGTTGCTAACTTCTCATATTTGTTGTTTCCATCTGAAGTTAATTCTCCACCATTTAGGCCGTGTTTGGTTGGAAGGGAGGGGAGGGAATCATTTTCCCTCCCATCTCCTCCAACCAAGCACACCCTTAGTTTGTGCTTTTGAGCTTCATCTAAAGCTTATGTGGTCTTTCAATTTTGATGAGTATCCTGTTACATAAATATATACTCTTGTAATTGTTATAAACGTAATAACATAGACTTGTTTCTGTTGCAGAAAAGTGTTGTTGTCCAGAATTTGTACTTAGGAAGATGCCCGCCTTTGTTCACTGAAATGAGAGTTCTTCAGAACTCCACCGGAGATGATCACTTGGTATGTTACGTTCTTTTGGGCATTGTGATTTATCCGGAGTGAAAATTTTCCCCAGTAATGGAGAGTCCAAATATGAATGAATCTTTGATGAAGCGAATAAATTGTGTCTGCCTGAAGTAAACATTATGATTAGAAATGCTATCCTAATAATCAACTTGAGATAGAAAGATGTTTATCAAGCTCAGCTGTTGGAATTTCAACATAAAGGTTTTGCTCATATAACTCATAAGTCATAAAAGATTATCGGATTTATCTCTTCAAAGTTCTTTTGTTGAAGTTTTTTTTTGTAAGAACTTCAGAAGTTAGTTTTTTTGTTTATTATTTTTCTGTTTAACTCTTTTATCTTCATTTGCATTTGCAGCTTAAGTCTTGGTAATGCTAAGTTCTTTAACACTATGTTTGTTTCAAGGAATTTGAAAGGGAAAATAAAAGAAAATGAAGTGGAAAATATGTTATCTGTTTGGTTAGAGAGGAAAAGAAAGGAAAAGTGGAAAGAAAAGAAAATGAGAAGGCAAAATATACTAAGAGGAGGAAAAACCAAATTCATCTCATTTTGGTTAGGAAAATGAGAGAATCATTTTCTTTTCTTTTCCTTCCAAATTCCTTAAACCAAACATAGTGTAAATGTACTCGTATTATATTAAAAGTTCTTGGTGATCTGTCAAAAAAACACTTGTTCAATAAACACAAAAATACACAGCTTATAATTAATGGAAACTCAAGGGTAAGGAATAAAATATAACTTTGGCCAGCATCGAAGTAACATTAAAGTGATGGAGTTCACTTAAAATGTAAGAAGACCTCTGGATAATTCATATAATTACTACGGAGTATATGATATGTGAAGTAATAAATGAACCCTTATAAAATTTTGGGGGAGATCCCCCCGTCTCCATCACTAACTCAGCGCCAAAAGAAGCCCTGCAGTTGAGTCATGGCCATCTATGTTATAAGCTTCTCCACCATGACATATATATTCATTTTCAACGTTAAACTTCAGTACATATTCAATGCAGGCCTTGGAGTTGGGAATGAACTTCTGCACGGAGGATATGAATGCAGTATTAGCTGCAAAACTGAAGAAAAGATTGGGTTTTGGGATGTGGGCAAAATTACACTTGTTAGGCATGCATGTTGAAGGGAAGGCAAGCTACAAAAAAAACTTGTTTCTCAACCATAATAATTGCAATAGTAATGTTTATCGAGGCTGTACTCGTAAAATGTAGGTTTTGGTAGGTGTGAAGTTTCTCCCCCAGTGGCCATTTCTTGATCGTTTAAGGGTTTGCTTTGCTGAGCCACCTTATTTTCAGATGACTGTGAAACCTATATTCTCTCATGGACTAGATGTTACAGAAGTCCCAGGGATTGCTGGATGGCTGGTTAGTTCATTTATGGTGTCACTTCTCTGTGTTTCATTTCAGTTTATGTGTATTTGTTGTGCATATTTATTTAGTTTTCTTTTTTCATTAGGACAAACTTTTGGCCCTTGCTTTTGAGCAGACTCTTGTTGAGGTAATTCATGATTTATGCAATGGTTTCTCTCTGCTTTTCCCTTAGTATATTCCTTCCTCTGGCATGATTGTGAAAACAGTGGCAAATTTTACGTACCTTTTTTCTTTTCTGCACTAAATGTGCTTTAATATGTTAGGATGCTATGTGATTCAAAGAATTTAAGATCAATTACATCCGCCATTCTTTTGCAGCCAAACATGCTAGTTGTTGATGTAAAGAAATTTGTGTCTCCACAACCAGGTACCAGCTGCTACTTGCTCTATGTGGCCCAGTTTTTCCTCCTCTTTTTTGAAGTTGGGTGAGATGGTGGACACACTATTATCTCTTGTACATAGTTATTGAGCTAGTTACATTGATGTGCATAAAGTTACATCTATTTTTTTCCTAGATCATTGAATAACAACAACAACAACCCAGGTGAATCCCACAACAGTAGGGTCTGGGGAGGGTGTGTGTACGCAGACCTTGCCCCTACTCGGAAGTAGGGAGGCTGTTTCCAAGAGACCCCCGGCTCCACCTGCACAAAAATATGGAAGGGAACACAGTATAACACAGATAAAGTACCAAGTACAAGCAACACGTACAGGCAATAGCAGAAGATTCCTAACAAATACAACACACTACAAAACAACCTCTACAACACCGAGCTCCTATCCAGCTACTCTAATCCTAGTTTTCCAAAGGTTCCTATCTAGGGCCATATCCTCAGTCAGGTCGAGAAGTCCTAAATCCTGCCTAATCACCTCCTTCCAATTCTTCCTAGGTTTACCCCTTCCCCTACTTCCCCCGATAACCGTAATCCTCTCGCATCTCCGTATAGGGGCGTCAGCATCCCGCTGTCTCACATGGCCAAACCATCTCAACCTCGCTTCCCGCAACTTATCTTCCACCAGTGCCATGCCTACCTGACGTCGGATAACTTCGTTCGAAATCCTATCCAACCTTGTCTTCCCACACATCCATCGTAACATCCGCATCTCCGCCGCATGCAGACGACGCACATGAGTCTTCTTAACCGCCCAACACTCTGCCCCATATAACATAGCAGGTCTGACTACGGATCGATAGAACTTACCTTTCATTCTAGGCGAAATCTTCGGATCACACAACACCCCTGAAGCTAACCGCCATTTGGCCCAAGCCACTCCAACACGATGTCCAACATCNTCCTCTCGCATCTCCGTACAGGGGCGTCAGCATCCCGCCGTCTCACATGGCCAAACCATCTCAACCTTGCTTCCCGCAACTTATCTTCCACCGGTGCCATGCCTACCTGACGTCGGATAACTTCGTTCGAAATCCTATCCAACCTTGTCTTCCCACACATCCATCGTAACATCCGCATCTCCGCCGCATGCAGACGACGCACATGAGTCTTCTTAACCGCCCAACACTCTGCCCCATATAACATAGCAGGTCTGACTACGGATCGATAGAACTTACCTTTCATTCTAGGCGAAATTTTCGGATCACACAACACCCCTGAAGCTAACCGCCATTTGGCCCAAGCCACTCCAACACGATGTCCAACATCCGCATCTAACTCCCCATCAGCCTGGATTACCGAGCCAAGATATTGAAACCTGTCTACCTTAGGTACTAGATGAGAGTCAATCCTGACTTCCACCTCTGATTCTGTATCCCGGCCGCTGAAACAACATTCCATGTATTCAGTCTTGTTCCTACTTATTCTGAATCCTTTAGTCTCAAGGGCAAGGCGCCATAATTCCAACTTATCGTTTAGTCCCTCACTGTGTCGTCGATAAGCACAATATCATCCACGAAAAGCATGCACCATGGGACCCCTTCTTGAACACCTTGAGTTAGAACGTCCATCACCAAGGCGAACAAAAAAGGGCTAAGGGCAGACCCCTGGTGCAACCCCATCCCTACCGAGAAAGAATCTGAGTCGCCCCCGGAAGTCCTTACCTTGGTCATAGCCCCATCGTACATATCCTTGATCGCGCGGGTGTACACGATGGGAACTCCTCTCGCCTCAAGGCACCTCCACAAGACCTCCCTTGGCACCCTATCATACGCCTTCTCAAGGTCAATAAACACCATATGAAGGTCCTTCTTCCTAGCCCTATACTCTTCCATTAACCTCCTCACGAGATGAATGGCCTCTGTAGTCGATCTGCCACGCATGAAACCAAACTGGTTCTCAGAGATGCAAACCCCTTTCCGCACCCTGTACTCAATGATTCGCTCCCAAACCTTCATGGTGTGGCTAAGCAGTTTGATGCCTCTGTAATTCTCGCAGCTCTGAATGTCACCTTTGCCTTTAAACAGAGGGACCAAGAGACTCTCCCTCTACTCATCAGGCATCCTTGCTGTCCGGAGGATAACATTGAAGAGTTTGGTTAACCAAACCCACGCACCATGACCCGCATGCTTCCAAAACTCCACCGGAATCTCATCCGGTCCCAAAGCTCTCCCACTACGCATCCCGCGCAGAGCCCGAACCACCTCTTCCAGGCAAATGCGCCGGCAATACACACGAGATGCCCTGGGCTATCCCAACTCATCCAGAACTAGCCTCTGGTCTCCTCCCGCATTTAAGAGTTCACTAAAGTACTCCCCGCAGCGCTTAGCCACCTTGGCAGTCTCAACTAACACTCTACCATTGCTGCCCTTCACGCACCTGACGCGATCTAGATCTCGGGCCTTCCTCTCACGCACCTTAGCAAGCCGGAACAGTGGATTAACACTGCCTTTCTCCTCAATATCCTTGTAGAGCCGTTCAAAAGCGGCATTCTTTGCCCTCGTTACCTCTAACTTAGCTTCTATGCGTTCTTTCTTGTACTCCACTCGTAACGCCGCTCTTTCCTCCTCTACATTGCATCCCATGTACCTCAAATACGCTGCCTTCTTAGCTTCCACCTTACTTCGGACTGAATCGCTCCACCACCAATCACCCTGACGCCTACTCCCAGAGCCAGAGCTCACACCTAACACTTCCCTGGCTATTTCCCTGATGCAGTTAGCGGTCCGCACTCACATATCAGTAGCCTCTCCGGTCGATTCCGACGCACCTCTCTCCTGCACTCGCCTGGTCAACTCAGCGATATTCTCCGCACTTAGTCTCCTCCACCGGATTTGTGTGTTGCCACTCGAAGCTCTCCTATGTTTCTCCCACCTGATCATAACATCCATCACGAGAAGCTTGTGTTGGGTAGTGACGTTTTCACTCGGAATTACTTTAGCATCCTTGCAGAGCACCCGATCACACCTGCGCATGAGAAGATAGTCGATCTGTGTCGTCCCCACTCCACTAACAAATGTAGCCAAATGGTCGTCTCGTTTAGGGAAACAAGAGTTAGCAACCACCATATCACTCGCTCTGGCAAACTCCAAGAGTGAAACTCCCGCTGGGTTCCTGCTGCCAAAGCCAAAACCACTGTGCACGTCCTCGAAGCCATCGGCCAACTCTCCAATATGGCCATTGAAGTCACCTCCAATGACGACTTTCTCAGTCAGTGGAAAACCAACAACCACCCCATCCAAGGCGTCCCAATATTATAGTGCATCGATATTTTTAGCATACAAATGTATTGGGAGGCTAGCAGGCGACGTTAGTAAGTTGACACTGGCTAGACTGAAAGAAAAATAAGAAAAACTAGTAATTATATAAGAAGAAAGAAATTGATTTTGTAATAAATATACTTATCTTTAGGAGAACAATACATGCATGTACATAGGAAGTAAAGCAGAGAAATTAGGATCCTATGGTGTGAATGTGAGTTTTGTGTCCACTTGGACAAGCTGTGAAGTGTTATAAAGTGTCACTGTATCTTAACATTTCAATACCCCCTCAAGCTAATTTAACTTGATACAACTAAAATATTCATTTATTTCATTAACCCTCTTCCACTAGATAGAAAATACACAAGTTGAGATCCAAAAAAATTGCATGAGAGTCAACTCAGGATGCTGGTGAGGGGGCAGAGAAGATTGCTTCAAAGAACATAGCCATATAGCTAGAATGAACTTCAGCATGAAAGATGTATCTTGACTAACATAGAAAGGCTTGACTTTCTCAAAACCACATTTTTGGAAGCTTTAGACGAAAATCATCATTGTCGCTGGACTGACATGATTTCTCTTGGAGGTAACATGGGAGGGAATATCACATGGTGTACTTACTAACTTGCAAGTTCATAAGAAATATAGCATCTGAAGGAATACCAGTCAGATTACCTTACCTAGAAAATCTAACATGGGAGCTACTCTTTTGAAAAAGAGTGATTCTCCAATGATGAAAGACTTTTTTCCCTCGGATCATTTGGATCTTGCAGAAGCTGTGTTGAGTCACAAGATCAAGCTTATGGTTGTGACCCAGGAAAGGTTTTTAACACCCCCCTTACATGCAGGCGTGACTTTTTTGAGCCTTGCACATGAAACCTTAATTTTTTTAAACTGGGTAGCGGTGAGTTTTGAACTTGTGGCCTCCTATCAATAAGGCTTTGATACCATGTCAAGGGGCCAACTCAACCACATGCTCAAGCTTATGGTTGTGGCCCGGAAAAGGTTTTTATATACTCTAACATAGCTAAATTAACACTACCAGTTTTAGAACTGCACTTCCACCATCCATATTAAAATGCACATGCTGGTAACACATAAAACAAATGTGGTTAATAAGTTAAATATCTATTGCACAAGAAAGCGAAGTACAGCTGCGGGCAAAGGAATTGAGGAAATCGTACAATAAGTGCAAAGCACAAATTGTTCTATCTTTTAAGAACCCAAACAAATTGTCAAATGCCACTTCAGGTATGTGAAAATTAATCTAACTGTGTTTAACATCGTACAATAGTTCAGATAATCAAAATATATAATGAATACTATATTTGAGAAGAAGAAAACATTTTAGAGGCTACAAGAAAAAAACAGAATAAATAACAAAGAAGAAGAAAGATAAAGTAGAAAAAAAAGATAGTAAAAAAAAAGATGCAAGGACCAAAAGGAATAACAGAATACGATTAAGAACAAGAAAGTTACCTGTCTATCTTTCACTTCTGTTCATTGCTGTCAACGTGTGAAGAGACTTGAGCTGCGAGCGAAGACAAAATATTATGATTGTATGACACTTAATAGAAATGATTGTTTCCTGTTTTTAAAATCCCTATTTTTAATAAGTTGATTTCTAAATTCTAATACTCCCTCCATCTAGATTTAGTTGTCCGCTTTCTAAAGAATCTCATTTTTTAAGAAATGAGCTTAAAATGTCAAATAATGAGTTTGTCACTCATTCATGTCAACAATGCTCATATATCTGAGATAGTTTAGGCAATTTATCAAAGTTATTTATTGAATATGGGAAGTTGACAATTTATTCCTCACAAATGGAAGCAAGAGAGTGGACCTCTAAATCCGGGCAGAGAGTGTAAGTGTCGATGCCTTGAAATAAGACCCAAGGAGAAAATTCTCTTTGATTAAAAAACTTTTTGCTGATTCAAATACGGCGTGCCTTAGCATTCGCTGTGCCTTGCCTTGGGTGCGCCTGACAAAGGCCCTGTGGGCTTGCTATGTTGCCCTTTTTTCTGTGGTCTTCAGAAGGTTGGTTCTCTGTTGATGCTAAGGAAACCATCGCTCATGTTCTTGTGCAAGTTTTTGAGGGTGCTGACTTGAATCCATCGGATCTTAATGGTTAGCTCTATATAACTAAGAGTGAACTTAATTTGAAAACAAAATGTCTGGTAACCTTACTAACCCTTAGCTTGGATCTTTTTCAGGATTGGCTGATCCTTACTTGAAGGGAAGCCTTGGGCCTTACAGATTCAGGACCAAGACACATAAGAAGACACTGAATCCAAAGTGGCAAGAGGAATTCAAAATCCCGGTCTGCTCCTGGGAGTCACCTAATGATGAACTGAAGATTGAAGTTTTTGATAAAGATCACTTTGTGGATGATTCATTAGGGTGTGTTGTCTGCACCCTTATGTTGTGCTTTACACATCTTCATTTTTTATTTGCAGAATTTCTAATCGTATGCTTTACACTTGACAAATATTCCAAGCCAAACTACCCCTACATGGTGTACTGTTTATTTAATCATGTGCTGATAGATAGCCAACGTGTTTTCCTTATAGAAATCTTTCTTGATATGGTTTGTCTACATTTGGTCTGTTCAAGATTAAAGGTTGTACCCTTGTACATTAGAATTGGTATTAGTTTAGTTGTTTGGTTTTAGTTTTGTTTTTTTAAAACTTATCCCCATGAGCAAATAATAACAAGTTTCTTTTGCAGAGAATGCTCCATAAAAATAATGGACTATAGGGACGGACAGAGGCATGATATCTGGTTGCCTCTTCAGAATATCAAAATGGGGAGGCTGCATCTTGCAATAACTGTGATTGAGAAAAAGGTACTTTTTTAAAATACTCTGTGATTGACAAAAAGGTAATTCAGAATACCCAACATAAACTTCATATTTCTTTTTACATTCATCCCAAAATAAACTTCACATTTTGTTTTTCCATCGGTCCCAACAAACACTTCACACCTCCTTTTTTCAATGTGTCACAAGTTTTCTCGCTCCTCTAAACAAATTTCAATTACACGTTTGTTAATTTTCAACACTTTCCATGAGTTTATTTCGAGATGGAAGGAGTAGGTCAGACAAAGACTATAAAAAGCTTTAAATCATCACACTAGAACTCATCGTTTGCACAATCAAATTTAGAACATTTTAGTGATGCAGACATGCAGTATGTTAATGTTTTATTTCAATCACGTGTTGAACTAACCCCTCATTTGGTGTGGATGAGGGATTATATAGGAAAATGAGTATACGTTCTTTGGGGAAAGAATGTACAAGGAATACCTTTTCCATGGTTTGGTGGGAGTAAAATTGTTAGGAACCCTTAGGCTCCGTTTGGTACACGGAATTCAAACGATGGAATCGGAATTGGGGACAACAATTCCAATTCTAGTGTTTGGTAGCACAAAAATATGTGGATTTGGAAGTGGTAGCGCCAAAAAATGAACTAGAATTAGAGAATTCAATTCCACCCAAATCAATTCTATAGAATTTCAACTTCCAATTCAATTCCAATTCCGTCAATTCCGTGTACCAAACGAACCCGTAAGGACCATTCTCTTTGCATGAAAAAATGTGACATGGTCTGAATGTTTATGGTTGGCCTCATCTGTTTAATTTACTTGATTACAAGCGTGTTCTTTTGGACTAAAAATTTTAACTTCCACCTTCTAGTTTCTTCACGTTTTTTTTCAATTTCTTCCAGTTTCTTTTAAATTTTTCCAGTTCCTCCCAGTTTTTCCAGATCCTTCCAGTTCTTTCAGTTTTTTCCAATTTTCCAGTTCCCTCCTACTTTTTCCAACTCCTTTTAGTTTTTTCCATCAATTCCCATTCTCCAAAAAAAACATTGCAATTTGCGTTTTACAGAACTTATTTTCAATTCAATTTATGTTAATATTCGTGAAAATCTAAAATTTAAATTATATATTTGAAAACAACATCAAAAAATCTAAAAAATAATACAGAGTAGGTGATATGACTACATTATTTTCTTGTGTGTATCAATTTATATTTCTTGTTCTTGATAAATTTTTAAAGTCTTATGCAAAATTCCAATATTATTGTACATTCAATATATACATTTTTTTCAGAGTTATATGCATAAATAGTCCATGTGATCTTCCATGAGTAGGTAAATAGTCCCTGTACTTTTAAAAATTGTAAAATAGGCCCTTTGGTCAATGAATTGGTGCATATTTAATCCTTTAGGAAAATGTGAAACACACAGAAGACATGCGTATTGTGTGAAAATGTAAAGCATGTAAAAAAATGAAGTTAATCTGATAAAACTGCCCTCGTCTTCCTGGTTAAAGGCAAGGAATGGTCTTTTTCCAACTATTATATCACACGATATTATCCTAGAATAAAGTTACTTGAAAAACAGAAGTGTCAAACTCACATAGAACTCTACGATTCAAGAAAATCACTGTTGAAGATATAAAGAAATTATAGAAGATGGAAGATATTTTACTACGGTTCAAACATACACATCACAAATGAAATTTAAAATAATTTTTTTTTTGTTACACGATTCACATCATTGCATAATACACACATGTTATGCACATTTCATAAATTCTTTAGAGGGACTAATTTTGCAATGATTCTTTGACCACAAGGACTATTTTACAACTTTTAAAAGTTCGATAGCTATTTACCTACTTATAAAAGACCACAAAGACTATTCATGCATTTAACTCTTTTTTTATCAATAAGTAAATTCTGATATATATATATATATATATATATATATATATATATATATATATATATATATATATAATTTGCTTAATTATTTAAAAAAATTTAATAATATTAGAGGAAAATAATTTAGTTACGTATAAAAGGAAAGAAAAACTAGATATGGACACATTTTGTGACGGTGTGACTATATATTCTTTTATAATAAATACTGCATAAATAAATTGAGGTGTAACAACTAAATAAATTGTTAAAAGTAACCATTTTAATATTTTATCCTAACTTTATAGTACTAATTTAAATTTATGTTGCAGAAGTAGCAAATGTTTTTAGAATAAATTAAGACATTAATTTATTTTTTTATTATCTTATAGACACTGATTAGCATAACGATGATTATGAATATAATAATAAATTCTAATAATAATAATAAATTAATAATAACAATAATAGTAAAAATGATGATAATAATAATATTAATATTAATAAGACTAATAGTATTAATAATAATAATAATAATAATGTTAATAGCAATAACAATAACAGTTATAATTAGAATAATATGAAAAATAGACTTAAATAATTTTTTAAAGTTTCTTCTTGTTATTTTTCATTTCGTTCTAGTTTCTAAAGAACAAGCTCTACATTTGGTTTGATCTAATTTTTTTGGTCAGGTCAGATTTGAATTTTTCCGTGTGTCCCAAAATTCTTCTCATTTCCTTTTTAATGAATGAGATTTGTGGTTCATATTTGACATTCTTCTTTTACAAAAGATTTTTTTTTTTGATTTCTGTTCTGAATTTGCTTCCTTGATTATGATTTGATTAAACAAAATTATTTTCTTCACTTTATTTTAAAATAGGGCTTAAACTTTTTTTCATTAGACAGAGGGTTTAAAAACAATATTTTTTCATCCTTTCCCTCATTATGTGAAAGCTTACCAAATAGTCGATGTAATTTTCATTCCTACATTCGAAACACTACAATTTAAACTCCTTTCCTTTTATATTCATCTTCATTGGCCAAACAGTTGACATGAACCAAATTTGGGATAATTTGTCATTAGTTTGAGAAGAAACATGCAATAGAATTTTTTTCCTTTAAACGAAACAGGCTGATGATGTTGTATGTCTAAGACTTATATATGGTTAAGCAGGATGCAGAACAAATGTATGACGAAGAAACTCTTGATTCCTTTGAGAATGATGCAGCCGAGGCCGGCTCCTCACCTGAATTACCTGAAAAATCGCCCAAAGTTGGGGACAAATACGAGCCCATCGATATTGAAGGGAAACAAGAGACTGGGGTGTGGGTCCATCACCCGGGGGTTGAAATCGCACAAGTCTGGGAGCCAAGGAAGGGTAAAGGTAGGATGATTGATGGAGAGGACTCAGATTCTATGAGGAGTTTCAAGTCAAAAACACCCGGATCACCTCATAGTGATGACAATGAGACCGGGCAGTCATGTAATCGATTCCGTAGGGGCTTGAGTAAAATCGGTTCAATGTTTCACAAGGGTCCCATAAATCACGACAAATACGACACCCTTGGTGAGCCATCCACACCACATGTGAATCTCAAGGCAGTAAATGCAAAGCAAATCGGTGTACAATTTGTGGTGGACAATACGGACCCTGCCCAATCCCCCACAAGATCAAAAGAAGATGGTAAAGAATCACTGGAGGAAGATGAACAAGACGGTCCAAGTACTAAAGAGAAAATGAAAGACAGGGCGAAGAACATGTTGAAGCATGTGGGAAAATCTGCTCATGGTGGCATAAAACATGTCCTTTCTCATAAAGGATCAAGGAAATCGAAATATGAGCCAGAGTTATCAACTACAGATTCTTCGGACGAGTCATTTGTTGATACCCCACAACAAGCTGCAGCAGTTCAACGGGCTCATCAAATATCTGATTCTGGTAGTGATTATATAACAGAGACTTCAAATGCAAAGGAAGAGAACCCCCTTCCAGGGGATCTAATCCAGATGGATTTAGCAGCTTCTCATGGTCCTAAAACTCCGTTGGCAAACATTTCAGATGAATGAGGCAATCAAGACAGATGAATGCATAGGGATGGTTTCTTGTGTACCTTAAAAGCAGTTGGAAAGCAAAGGTTGTTTTACTTGTTTACTGTACATTCTCCTCGCACACTATAAACTACAGCAATACTATGTGGTCTTGAGTTGCCCATGTAAAAGTTCTCATGTTTGTAAAATCCAAAGGTATATGTCCAAGAAGTATGTGCACATGTTTGTTTTCCGGAGGGTTTTGAATCTCCTGGCATACTATTTCAACACAAAAACTATGTTGTCTTTTCCCATACTATGCGCT